CATTTTATTAGGGGCTCATACAACTCTTATCACAATCCATACATGCATCAATTGTGTAAAGTGCATTTGTCCATTCATTGCTGGAGGGCTTTTCTGCAGGATGTGGGGAAGCCCACTAAGTAACTGGCTCGGCTCCGCCCAACAAACACACAGGGCAGGAAGGCCGCCTCCCATGGAGGGAGGTTCCCCCACACCCACCCAGCCCTGCCAGGCGGGTTCTTCCTTGCTTGGCACACAGGAGCGGCCCCCCGCCAGCAAGTACAAAGCCCTGATGGCCGAGCTCAAGATCTTGACCCACATCGGACACCCATGCAGCTGCTTGGACACCCAGGGCTGCATCAGGGTAGGTCCATGTCTCACAGGAAGTGAGCCTTGCCAGCTGAAGCAGGCTAAGGCAGCTTCACCCTGGACTGACCATCAGAGAGCAAGAGGCACAAGAACTAGAAAGGCAAGGCTCACCAAGCCATTTATCTCTCCGCCCTTCAATTAATCCCACATGTGTTTATCGGCCAGGTTGGCACAAAAAACCTTAACTATCTCAGATGTAAATATACACCTACATAATTTTTTTTAGTTAAAAAATATTAATTCACTTATGAAGAAGAGAAAATATAAACAGACAGTTCCAGAAAAATAAACAAAGGTAAAGAAAGAAAAAAGTACTTTCCCCTGACTGAATTCACAAAGTATTTCTTGGAAGTAAAGTTTAATTACCCATTTAAAAACACATTCCAGTTCCCAAAGCTCTGGGTGAAACTACTCAAAGTCCTGCAACAAAGACACAGAGCTCAACAGGTCACCTATTTTATTTTGTTTTTTTTATTTTTATTTTTTTCAGGTCACCTATTTTAAACAAAACTGAAAAGCAGATAAAACTAACATTTTATGAGGGAAAAGATCTCTGGAGGCAACATGAAAAGGTAGAAAGTGTTTTGAAAATGATGATGGCAACAAATGTACAAATGTTCTTGACACAGTGAATGGATGGATGGATTGTGATAAGAGTTGTATGAATTGGAAATATTTCTTACTTATTTTCTATGTGTTTTAAAAGCCTGTCAGAAAGACGGGATTTGATAAACATTTTGAAGGGAAAAAAAAAAGTTGTATGAGCCCCCCAAGAAAATGATTTTTTTTAAAAACAGAAAGGACAGTACAAAAAATTAAACCAGGAAAACTGAAAAACAAACCAGACTTTTTTCTGTTAAGCTGTTGAAAATTGTTATTCATTTTTACAATAAAAAGAAAAGTACAAACACAAAGAAATCCACCTCTCAAGACTTAAACTTCTGCCAAGTGCCCTGGCTGGTTAGATTAATAATCGACTCACTCAGTCCATGCAAATCCCAGGTTTGTGAATAAAGCCACTCAATGTTCTTTAAAAAATACCACAGAAAGGTTTTAAATTTATAAAACAAAACTATTCTGTCCTAATTTACTTGTAATCAACCATTTAAACCTACTACCAATCAAGCAACCAAAAAAATAACAGCCAAAAGAAAACCTTTGTTCAGACATCTGATTAGTCAGGCCTGTGACTTTGAGGCTAATAGCCAGCAACCCAGTCACCAAGAGGGAGGAGAGGAGAGGGAGAAAAATATATATAGAGAGGACAATAATCAGACTGACCAAGTTGCACTAAAAGACAACAGCCATGGCTAGCCAAACCAAGTTACCAAACTTCTTTAAGTGATGGTCTGCAAAGGCAAGCTGCCAACTCAATAAGCCACCAAACTTCTCAGGCAGCGCCCTGGTGAGAAGCAACTGGGAAGAGTTAAGACTGAGTCAGGTCCCCTTCCCTAGTCAAGCCAAAGAACCACAGACAAATTTACCTCTGGAGGAACAGGAGACTCAGGCCAAATTCCAGCATCCCCAGGCAGCTGCTCAACTGAGAAGGTAGGAGTCCAGGGCCCTGGTAAAATCAAGGGGTGCCTCCCCTAGAGGTCCCACACTTCCGGGAGCAGCTGCCAGGCAGAGGTATCAGGACACAGTGAATTCCCGGCCAATGCACCAGAATGTTGTGGGTTGAAATAATGACAGCCACTATAATGTCTTGATAATTTAGAAGAGTATTTAGTGGGTTAAAACAGGAGTGCTAGAATCTAAAGGTGATCCATTGATTGCAGTCCCGAGTGGACATTTTAGTCCATGTTTATTTATTTAAAAATCGTTTTATTGGGGGCTCTTACAGCTCTTATCACAATTCATACATACATCCATTGTGTCCAGCACATCTATACATATGTTGCCATCATCATTTTGAAAACATTTTCTTTCTACTTGAGCCCTTGGTATCAGCTCACACCCCCGCCAGCCTTTTAGTTCATCTTTAAAGGCAAAAAATCATTTAACATTTGTCTAAGACTAAAGTAAGCATGTACAAAAACAAACAATAACTTTGAGAGCAAGTAAGCATTGCAAGGTACATCTATTATCAAAAAGGAAACAATATTAGAATTCAATAAGAGCAAGAAAGCATTGCAAGTTAAGAAGAGACTATAACGTCCTGAACCCGTGAACATGAGAGTACACTTAAAAATTAATCACCAGTGGAGATTTCCCAGAAGGGAAGGGGGAATAGGCAGGTCAACTAGAAGTCAGCTTTCTGAGATGGGAGGGGAAAGTGGGCAAGTCATCTAGCAACTAACACAAATGGAGTTTCTTGCAGTTAATGTATGGATTGTTTGAGTTGTAACCGCCCCCTCCAAATGTCTTTGTGTGTGTGTGTGTGTGTGTGTGTGTGTGTGTGTGTGTGTGTGTGTGTGTTTTCCTTTGGTCAGTTTACTTCAGGGTGAAGGGATAGGCAATACACCACCAGAGGGAGGTCAGAAAATATCAGAGGCAAGTGAAGACAGTGGGAGGCAGGTCAAAGGAAAAGGTGACGTGAGTAAACAGGACTCCACACACCATCCTGCAATGACAGTGATCTACATGTGGATGTACAGACAGACACAGAGGGGGAACGAAGGTGGAAAGGAGAGTGGGACTCTAAACTTATGAATATAGATGAGGGTTCTTCAATTCATGGGAAAATAGGATTAAATCATGTAAAGTTTCCACTGACTTTTTGAAGCCCCTCATATAGGTTTCAGAAGAGGTATTTCTAGTCGGGCATTTATTTTACCTATGCTCCAAATACTTCCAGGCATGGGAAGAGGCCACAAGGGCAAAGTTATGAAAACTGAGAGAGAACCAAACAACTTATGAGGAGTCATGGACCTTGGGCACTAAGGCAATGATCTTGGGTGGCACCAAGGTCAACTGGCTTAACATAGTCCACATTGTTAAAAAAAGTTCTATATCATACCTTGGTGAGTAGTGACAGCCCTTCGGATAAAGTAAGTAGCCTTTATATATAGCAACTGGTGATTTCTGTCCATCTGGAGAAGTGTGAAGAAAGTAGAGGATTTGTAATAACAATCAGACTAATGGACCCTTCAACTATCAGTCTCTTATACCCTGAGGCCAGAGGAACTGGATCATGGCTGGCTATCATTGCCAACTGATCTGAAAGGCATCCCATTAGGAACTGGATTGGGTGGGGCAAATATGTGGATCAACACTTAAAAAAATTTTTTTTAAGTCTTACTGGTCATATAAAGGCAGGTGGACTCTACCCAAGACCATAATCCTTAGTCCCCTTTCAGGTTTGGAGGTGCGCTTCACCCACCAGGTCAGTTTTCCACCCAACAATGGACAGATCTATGGATGGAACAGGAACATTAGGAAGGTGCGCACACCTTAGAATAATCAGCCCTGTGTGATCAAAAGCGCAATGTTTGCAGAAGGCGAGCCCTCGGAAGGGTGAGGAAAGGAGGGATGACACCGGAGGAAGGGGGATGAATGATGCCACATTATGAGGACGGCCATCAACAACATGAAACACAACGCACGTGAACAGGTGAAGAAAGAGCTGCTCTGCTCTGTGGCCTTCCACCCAATTGCACAATGAAAAGCTGAAAAGAGGAAAAGAACAAGAAAGAAAGGACCTATTGAAGGCTTTTACAATTCAGTTTTCAGACATTTCTTATAAAACTATCTCCACAGCACTGAAAAAACTGACAAGTGAATGAAACAGCATTGTCTTTAAAAAACAAATGATTTTATTTAAAAACATAATTATATGCTATTAACTTATCAATAAAACGATGTGATACTATATCTTTATATAAAAGTGGTGGTACAGTGGTGGTGGTAGGGTACCAAGGAGACGATGTCAAGGAGACCATGAAGAAAAAGAATGTTTGGAAACTGGTTGCGGTAGCAATTGTATATTGTACTCTGTGACTGAAATACAGAAAGATATATGTATTACAACGACTAAGTAAAAAAAGGATTTGCAGGAAAAGCCTGACACACACTCCTTACACATGTAAGGTTTCTCTCAAGTGTGTCATCTGATGTGTGATGAGAGGTGACTTTTGGCTAAAGCCTCGCCCACAGTCTTTACATACATAAGGTCTCTCACCAGTGTGTGTCCTCTGGTGTCTGATGAGAGTGGACTTTCGGCTGAAGCCTCGTCCACACTCATTGCACACATGTGGCTTCTCCCCAGAGTGTATCCTCTGGTGTGTGATGACATTTGCTTTGCAGGAAAAGCCTGAACCACACTCTTCACACATGTAAGGTTTCTCCCCTGAGTGTGTCATTTGGTGTGTGATGAGAGTTGACTTTTGGCCAAAGCCTCGCCCACATTCCTTACATACATAAGGTCTCTCACCAGTGTGTGTCCTCTGGTGTCTGATGAGAGTGGACTTTCGGCTGAAGCCTCGTCCACACTCCATGCACACATGTGGCTTCTCCCCAGAGTGTATCCTCTGGTGTTTATTGAGATCTGACTTCCAGGGAAAGGCTCGCCCACACTCATTACACACATGGGGTCTCTCCCCTGAGTGTATCCTCTGGTGCTTATTCAGATGTCCCTTTCTGCTAAAGCCTCCCCCACATTCCTTACACATGTAAGGTTTCTCGCTTGAATGTGTCCTCTGATGTGCGATGAGAATTGACTTGTCACTAAAGCCTCGCCCACATTCCTGACATATATAAGGTTTTTCACCTGTGTGGGTTCTCTGGTGTGTGATGAGAGTTGACTTGTCTCTAAAACCTCGCCCACATTCCTTACACACATGTGGTTTTTCCCCAGAGTGTATTGTCTGATGTTTTTTGAGATGGGACTGTTGGCTAAAGGCACGCCCACACTCCTTGCACAGATGTGGCTTCTCCCCTGAATGTGTCCTCCGGTGTATGATGAGAGTTGATTTTAGCCTAAAGGCTCGCCAACACACATTGCACACATGTGGTTTCTCCCCCGAATGTATCCTTTGGTGTTTGATGAGATCTGACTTCCAGCTAAAGGCTCGCCCACACTCCTTACACACATATGGTTTCTCTCCCGAATGTATCCTCTGGTGTGCAATGAGAGTCGACTTTGGGCTAAAGCCTCGCCCACATATCTCACACATGTAAGGTTTCTCTGCTGAGTGAGTCCTCTGTTGATTAAGGAAAAAGGATTCCTGTGTAAGGCCTTGGTAGCACTCACTATATAAATGTGACTTCTCCTGAGAAGGGGCCATCTGGTTTGTAAAGTCTAATTTCAGACTGCAGTCTGGTTCATCCTCTCTACAAGTAATTACTCCAAACCTTGAGGTTTCTAATCTCTTCAAACCCTTGTCTGTTTCCCCACATTTTTTTTCACTTGGGGCTGAGTTGGCCTCCACTGCCATCACTGTGTTGCCTTCCCTGCGGCTTGCTGACCCACCCCAGGCTGGGCTGAATAAAGCCCATGAGGTCTCCCTCTCCCCTGTGCTCCCACACAAGGGTTTGGAGACTTCTCTCTCCTGCCCTTCTGTGTTTTCACTCGTGCAGTTCTGATCAGAATCCTGATGCTCTGGTTGCTCTGGGCTGGACTCTCCTGGATGGAAGTGAGTCTCTGTATACAAGTCCGGGAAGATCTGAAGCACATGCTGCCAGAGGAATTGTTGACAAGGAAAATCCAGGAGGCAGGAGAAACAGGAATAGATTTGTGACTTTGGTTCTACAGGAGAGAGAAAATTCTATTAGGGCAGCAGTGAGTAGGGTTGCTTGGACATTGCTGCTTTCTCTTATGACAGACAGCGCATCTGCCTGGTGGAGTATCAGGAAAAGACTGACTCTCTCTCTCTCTCTCTCTCTCTCTCTCTCTCTCGCTCTCGCTCTCGCTCTCGCTCTCGCTCTCGCTCTCTCTCCTACTAGCTGAAAGGGTGATGGTTCAGAAGGTGGCCTACTGACTTTCTAGCAATCTGCATCTAGAGGGCCATTGGCTTAAAAACCCTAGGGAGCTGTGCTAATCTATCTTGGTGAACATATGCGTTCACTGAGAGTTGGAGTACCCTTGATGGCACTAACAAGCCTACATTCACATTTGTCATTCACAATATATCAAACACAATTCATTTCTCCACCATCCGGTCACCCATGTTCCATTTTTATCAACTGCCCTTCTTATTGCAATCCAGGACTCTAGTTGGAGCAGTGGTTAAAGCACTGGGCTGCCATCCAAATAGATGATGGCTCAAACTCACCAACAGCTCCATGGTAGAACTGTGCCGCAGTCTGCTTCTACAGAAATTTACAGTCTGGGAAACCCTAATGGGTCAGATCTACCATGTTCTATAAGGCTGCTATGACTGGGTAGCAACTCAATGACAATGGGTTTACTTACTGAAATCCAGATAACCCACGCTCAAAACCTTTGCAACATGTCAGCCAGATTAGAATTTCTCAAGGAAGGATCAGATATTGCTTCTGCTCTGTAAACAGCTTCTCCTATACGTGGCCTGTTCCTTCTCCTAAAGCCCTCTAAGCCGCAGACACTCAGTGACATATCCTGCCCCTATCATTTTGCTGTTACTGGGAAATAACAGTTCCTATGATTACATAGAAATCTTCATGACTTTTATTATTATAAAGATGGGCTGATGAAATATAAAGCCACTCAGTCTGGTGGGCCTCAGAGATAAGAGACAGTCTCTGTGTGAAAATGGCAGCGGTGTAGCACTTGAATATGACCACCTTTGAGTGAATGGTGATCAGGATCGGCCCACGGATGATTAACATGATTTGGCAGTCAGTCCTTCCTCCAACCTCCAATTGTTAAATCAGTTCTTAGAGTAGCCATCCTCCCCATGGTGAATCTACTTCTCCTATAGGGGTGATAATTCAGTACACAGTGGCCACAGAGAACTCGCAGACCATACTTAGAGTTAGGTGGTAGACTAAAGGACAGGTCACAGCTCAGGATCAGGAGGGATTTCAGCAGAGACTCCCTTCTTCTGTTGAGCAGCCCTCAGCTCCTCTCTCCTGTGCAGGTGTCCTGTCAGTCTCCTGAGCAAAACACTCTTCTTGAATGTCCCCACTAACTGACACATGGACCATGTGAGACCTGGGACTACTGTCTGTCCCTGAGCCGATGCAGGTCTCTCACTGCATCGTTTTAAGTCTCTTTCAGAATTTCCTTGTCCTCTTTTTGTTTCCTTTCTTCTCTTTTCTTTCTGCTACTTCTGCTCTAGAACACACCCCTCTCTAGGACGGTCGGATCTTGCCGTTAGCCCAATTCTGAAACTACAGGGCCTCCAGGGCTCCTCAGTCCACAGAAAAATTCCCACCATTACCACCAATCGCTTTTGCAAACATGCCATTTGCTCAGGAGTCTGTAGACACTTCTTTAATACTGTTCGTTAGTTAACCCCTGCAGGTGGCATTGCAATAACAGGGCAGCACTTTACAGTTTATGACCAAACAGAAAATATCAAAGCCATACTGTTTAAAAGCTTAATCCTTGAAATGAAACAAACAGGCAGTAGCTATGTATGCATACATGTATAGGATGGCACATGCACAAAAATGTGTGCTGCATATGTCTTCATGTATGTAATAATGCACACAAGTGGCACAATTATGGCGACTCACTGGTTTGAAGTTGTCCCCATGGTAAGGGGTCAACTGAGTCTACTGGCATAACATAGTTCATAAAGATGATGTTCCAAAACCTGGTTTGGTGAGTAGAACCAGGGCTCGTTCTTTGGCACACAGTAGGGCTCCAATAAATATGTGCAAAGGTAAAAGAGAAAACAGCACATCCTCACCCAAAGATAGTAGATTCCTATAAATCTCCAGCATCACGTCTCCATACAGGGTCTTCTGCTCAGCGCTCAGTGTCTCCCATTCTGCCTCCGAGAAAAGCACAGTGACATCCTGGATCGTAATTGGCTCCTAGAAAGAATAAGAAATCAATGCAGCAAAACACCACCAACTCTCACCATCAGACTTCACTGGGGGCCCTGAAGAATCTGCATCTGAGGAACTTCATCTAGTTCTTCCAAAGCAAGCTTTCCATAGCAACTCCTTCATACCTGGTGGACATGCCTGTACTCCAGATTTGTTACAAAAATCTGTGGAGAGCACAAGTGATCCAGAACCACAGCACCAGGTGAGCAACACTTAGACAGGCAGGAACTCCTCCTAGAATCAGGTGCGTTAGCCTCAGCTGTCTTTTTTTTTTTTTAATCATTTTATTGGGGCTTATACATTTCATCACAATACATAGATCAACTGTGTAAAGCACACTTATACATTTGTTGCCCTCATCATTCTCAAAATTCGCTTTCCTCTTGGGTTCCTGGAATTAGCTCATTTTCCTTTTTTCCCCTCCCCCTCCCTCTCCACTCGCCCCTCCCTCATGAATCCTTAATAATTTATAAATTATTATTATATCTTA